CAAAGAGATGTAGAGGAGGGTCAAGCATAAAAATTGTTTATCCACACTAGCCTCACTTAGAAGTTAGAACTTACAAGGCTAACAGAAAGATTCAATCTCAAGAGATATCGAAACTCACAAAGTAATTGACCAACTACATTTATGTTAGACATGCTAGCTGAGCAAACCAACGGTGAAGTTTGAAAGAACATAACGATTTATAAATGCATCCAAAATATAAAAGGAAAAGAAAAAGCCAACGCGAAATGTAATTGAGCAGCAGTATCATTCCCTTGGAGCTAGTGCAACCTGGGGTGGATGAAGTTAGGCAGCACGGAGATACCTGCTTGGCCCTCACCAATATACCTACTCAGGATGATGAATAGCGCAGTAGACAAGAGTTGGATTAGTGGTTGTACCCATGTAAGTTGCTCGGACTCGGGTGCGGGCATCCGACACGGGGAAGGAACCGAGTATCGGATTCGGCAAAATCTAAATTTTAAGATTCGGGCATGCGGTTCTGGATATGGATATGGGTGTGGGGATTCGGCTAATAAAAAATAGAGCTATAAAATATTATAAATTTTGAGAGATATTCTGTGAAAAACTTACATGAATATTGTAAAATTCAATCTTTCATTCTCGAAGATGGACATTATTCTTTCATTGTCCTAAATCTTGTTTTATTTTTGATTTTGAAAAATCAAAATCTCAATTTTTCTCCCAAATTTGTCGATGGACTCCGGTCAAAGTGTCCGAAGTCAGTAGACCGAATCCGGGACGTATACCGTCCCCGTCCTCGTCTCGTATCGGGACGGGGACGGCACCAAAATCGAAGAGTCCGCGCAACTTAGGTACCCATTGGAAGAATGGATAGGAAACTGTCTGAATTTTACACATACACATTGCTGTGCCCATCCCCACATTCCAACAACATTGGCTTGTGATGTGACAAGGCTTTAGGTAGAGCGTGCTGCTTTATTTATTTATTTATTTATTTTTTTAAAAAAAGCTTTTTAAAAAAACCGCTATCCCATAGAGAATAGAAATATCTATTCCCAAAGCAGCAGGTCTTTCTCCTTCCTTACACCAAGTAAATATGCCTTCCAATAGTGGTGGATCCACAGGTCCATCTCTTATGGAACTTTATAAAAAATTCATAGATTTTGATGACAGAGAAGCATTCAACTTTTCTAAAGCCAACTCGAGAACATTGCAATCTCCACAAAAGAATATGCTCGAGCTGAATAGAGCTAGGGCATCTTCTTCAAACCTTGCAAAATGCACCTTTACCTGTTTGGTCAGCCTTGAGCACATTCTTTTTCACCCAGCTACACTCCAATTTCTTTTTATTGGACGCTTGTCGCCTGCATGCACTTTTCTTTTCTATCATCTCTGTAATAAGGGAGGAGTAAATGTAATGACACCGGCATTGACCCTGGTTCATCAATTAGTTGCACAGTTGTTATAGCCATCTCCTCTAATCCTTGGCTCTCTAGTATGCCGTTGACTGTGTGACTTCCTTTCCTAATTTGTCAGCCAAAGGCAGTTAATTTTTGTCACCTAGCTCTATTCCTTAGCTTGAGCTAATCGTTATGACTTTGGTCTGCATTCTTTATCCCCGAACTTCACTATCTTCAATGGCTCGAGAAAAATCTCTGGCGAATATCATGCTTCTAACTAGACCTCTATCTACACCTCCATTGGTTCAACATATGATTCACCTATACGAAAGCCAAAAAGTTTGTCCTTGCCACATGGATCAGGGCCTAGAATTTTAATTCCTTTTTTGTGCTGAGAAGCTGAGACGACTTATCCGTCCGTGGTTGATGCCTTACAAATTGGCCTTGATTTCAGCACCTGCCTGCTTTCCACTTTAATGGAAATTTTTTTTCTTGTGGCAGAGTCGGCCCACTTACAACAACTTCAGTTGTTAGTGTTCCCCCTCTTCCCATCAGTAAGCAAAAGCTTCAGATCTGGCTGAGTTAATCTCAGTTCGAATTCCCCACTTGTCCAAAATTTGCTTGGCTCTTTATAGTTTTTTGATGAAGTTGCTTAGCTCTTTGTAGTTTTAAGGGAAAGTATTCCAGCTGGCCATCTCTATTTGTTGAAAATGCATTTTAGAGTGACCTCTCTGACGCCTTATGTTCTGCACCCAATTCATCATCTTAGACCAAATTGACACCAAGTATCTCCAATTGCTTGCCTCAAATGCAGTGTCCCCAGAATTTTCTTGTCCGAAGCCCTAACACAAACTCTAGCCCATCGGAGGTTTCTCTTGTTCCTTGAAACCTTGTTAAGTTCCAAATAACCACCACAAATGTCTCCGTCTATTCAGACAGGATATTCTGAGCCCATCTCTACACCTCCAGAACATGAGGCACCTCTGTATGTAAGCTCCGAATTTTCAAATTAAACATTTATTTAGATGATTTAATCCTTAGCTACTGAATTTTCTTCTTTTGAAATTCAATGATCCTCCTCCACTAATTTCATATGTGACTTTAGCTCTCATTTCTAGCCAGATACTAAGAGCAGCAATCTCTCTTCTAACCTAATGTGCATAAGGTTGTGTTAACCTGCTACCGTTTTCTGATGAATCTTCTGTATTTAGGTTATGTCTTCCCAGCCTAAGTCCGCTATCTCTGGCATGATTATTTTGAGCTCCTTTTGCGTTGCACAGCTTGAATAAGAACATACTGAATAAGTGGTAGCTATAGTTGTAATCTCAATCTTCAAATATTTCCATGACCTCTGCAAAGATTTCCCTGACCTTCTGATGCCAATCCGGTTGTACTGCAAGTCCAACAGATGATGCGATTTCCCTAAACTGTCATCCTGCTTATTCCTTTTCCTTTTAGTACCTCGAAACAGCTCAATCTTCTGTTACTGCAATTTACTACTTCTGTCTGCCAATAAAATATGAGTCTTCTATTCATTTAGAACATTTGTGGATCGATTTTCTGCAGTATAGCTAGACTTAAGTTACCAAGAAAATCCATCTACAAAGAAGCTAGTTGTTTTGGTTGCTGGGAAGTTAACAGGTTAGAACACCGGAATTATATTTGATAAACTGTGACTTACAGATTAGCCACCAAGTTAAGGGTGTCTTAACTTAGTGAAATCTTAAGATCAAACTGTCATTTATAGATTTTTAAAAAAAAAAAAAGGCTGCTAATGCTAGCAAGAATCAACAGCTTAGCATAATACAGAGATGTAATCATTCAAAATGTCTGAAGGATTTACCTCCTGGCATGACTCCTGTTCCACCAGCTAAACCAGCAGCTGTATTTGCAATTAGGTTTCCGTAGAGGTTGGGTGTCACCTGCATAATTGCAATGGTTGAAGTTCAGCAAAAAGCTTATCAGCTATGTCAAAATTAGGAGACAAGTTAGAATCGGGCAGCTGAATACACACCAAAAGATTGCTTCTGGATCGATGCAGGAAAGCTGATGACTCTTAATCTAAAAACCACAGTGAAAAAAGCCGGGAGGGTAATACCTACTTTTGCTAATCTTAATTTTTTCTATCCATGCTCTCTCACTGATATCCTATATTTTGATAAGGTAAGCTTTTATAGGTGTAAAACCAGCAACAAGCATATGCTGGAAGCCTGGACATTGCGACCAACCAAGCTTCTGTTAGTTGTAACTTGTAACAGAGTATGTAAGGAGTTTAAAAAGTCAAACATGACCTCAACATCCTGAATAACGTTTATATTTGCCAGCTTATCCCAAAAAGATAGAAAAAGTATATATTTGAATTTAAGCCTAAGTATATTCTGGCATTCCTCTCTCTCCAGATAGTCCACCAAATAGCTGCTGGGATAGCATTCCATAATCTTGTCCGAGTACCTCCCAGTCCTCTGACCGTATAAATATCAAAACAGTTCTAGGCATAGCCCACTTGAGTACAGCAGAGTGAGAAACATGTCCCACAGCTGACCAGTGATTCTAAAATGCAAAAATAGACGACTTGCATCCCCTTCTCCGTAAGTTGCACTGAATGAAGCAAGCATTTCTTCTCACCAACCAAGCTTACTGATATCCTATTATTTTACAAGAAAATCAAAGAGGCCACTTAAGGGAAATCCCAGGTGCAAGATTATCCTGGTAACTCAATTGTAAATGAAGGAGAAGAGAAAAGACTTCAATATTTTTGCAGACCTTGTCACTTGGACTCTGTTATTTCATCACATCACTGGTCTCGACAGTTACCAGTAAGAACACAAAATTAAGAGGTCAAAATAGATGCTAGAGACAGAGTGCCAAGACTAGACCCTTTGACTATGCAAGCAACCTAGTGAACATTCCTAACTTCAAATATTATTTGCTTATTAGTCCATAGCCAAATACCATATGAACTAGTCTCATAGCAGCTTCAAGCAATTTTCTAACTTCAAAAGTCAAGCAAATTATCCAACTGCAGATACGACAAGCTCTCAGCAAGCCAATCCTCTCCTCAAGGACTAAACTAATGGATGACGTTCACCACTAGATTTCTTTTTGATAAATTTGGATGACACCATTAGATATCAGATGTAAGAGAAGCTAGAATTTTAAGGACGGTAGTAAAGAGAAAAGTCACGGAAGCATATCCCCGTACCATGACATCAAACTGTTCTGGCCTTGAGACAAGTTGCATGCAGCAGTTATCCACAATAATCTCCTCGTACTGTATTTCTAGATACTTTGCTGCAACTTCTCTACATGATTCTAGGAATAGACCATCTGCAAGTTTCATAATGTTGGCTTTGTGCACAGCTGTAACCTTCTTTCTTTTGTTTACATCAGCATACTCGAACGCAAATTTTGCTATACGCTCAGAACAATATTTTGTTATCACCTGGAAAAGGGAAAACATGAAAATATTGGGTTAAAGCAATTCGTGGGACAGGAGAATTTTACGGAGGAGTCGATATAATATGAGGAACCACAAAGGAAGATTGATAAAGAAAAAAGAACAACTACTTTTTTAGAAGGATCAACAAGCAGGCATATAAGAGTAACATTTAAATCATATAGGCATAAATTGGTCAAGTTACAAAATGAAAATTCATATGAAGAAAAAATCAAGTGCATCTCGCTTAGCTGGCCCATTTCTCTACCCTTTTGACGTGACCGGGTAAAGATAAGCACTAACAGTGTAATTCTTCCTCATGCACAAACCACAATCAAACAGGTTCAGCTGCAGCTGATAATGTATACACTTCACTCAAGATTACATCACTTATCAAGGATATTAATATGATAATAATGTCAAGGATATATAAAATGAAGAAGCAGCAAAGCTTCAGGCAAAATGCACTCTCCAGCACGAGGGTGGAGCACAAAGAGTATTTCCCAAAAAAATGTGCACCGTGATGCCCAAAATGGGGCCTTCCATACTAACCTACTAAGGAACGAGTGCATTAGTGTGCACCCTGCCGTAGTGGTGCAGCCACCCTATGCAAAGGGTGGTCAAGCGCATAGCCTTGCCAAAAAATTATACTGCGTATATAAGTTAATACTACTTTATATGATTATATATTATATTTTGAACACCCTTAACACAGTTGAATGAGGCAACCCAGCGATTCAGGGTGTCTAAAGTGTTGTTCACTAGTTCTCAAAGTTCTGCCCATTTTATTGCCAAAATTAAATGGAGACCACCATGTGTGGTCTATTTTTTATTTATGTTTCTTTTTTTGGTAATTAACTTTCTTCTGTATTAATCGCCAAAGAAGAACTGTACAAGTCCATAGTCAAGCTAACTCAACTGACAATCTCAAAGTTCATAAAGCAAAACAAAGAATACCTATTTACAGATAACACTAATGAATCTACTCTGTTCCTAGGTAAAACTGTTGTATATAACTCTTAGCTCGAGTAGCTACTCTAACATTGGAGATATATGCTATCTCCCGTACAAGAACATAACAGCCTCGATACCTTTGTTCAAATATATGTGTTTCTTTCGATCCATATTGCATGTGAGATCTCAGCATATAGCATTCTGAAGATGCTAGCCTTCTTGGACTTCCCTTTTCCATGCTTGATGATCCACTAAAGGTGTTGGTCCCAGCAGGTGGTGGGCACATGTGAACTTTGAACCCACTTCATGACTTTCTCCCATAGTTCTGTAGTGTATGGGAATTTAACAAAGAGGTGCTCCCTTGATTCATCCTGACCTTGACACATAACACATTGAGGGGTGACAGTTAAATCCCAGCTGGCTAGCCTATCTTTAGTTGGCAATCGTCCATGAAGCAACAGCCACATAGTGAAGACTGCCTTTGGCCTGGCAGTGTTGTGGAAGACTAGACATTTCCAACTAACTCTTGGTAAGTCTCCTAAAAGCTGTAGGTATATTTGTCTAATAATGCTCTTGATGTGATCATTTATATTCTGTGCCTGCCGTATAGTTGTTTTTGATCCAATTATTCTTCTCACCATCCAACTGGCTTGTTGTGGTATTGGCATATGTTGTAGCTGCTGTTGTTTGATATAGTATGCATTGATCCATCTTATCCATAGTTTGTCCTGTTTGTGTGCTAAGTCCCAGCAAGTTTTGGAAATTGCTGCTTTGTTCCACAAAGGAAGGTTGATGAGATTAAGTCCACCAGCTGACTTGGGAGTACGTATCTTTTCCCATGCTACTAAGGCCCTCATGGTTATTGTGTCAGTTCCAGACCAGATGTAACTTCTACAGAGTGCCTCTATCATTTTCAATACCTTAGCAGGTAAGATAAACAATTGAGCCCAGTAAGCTTGAATACCAAAGATAACAGACTTAACCAAGTGCACACGACCGGCATAAGATAGCTTTTTAGCAGTCCAGGAAGAAATCTTAACTGTGATCTTTTCAATCAAAGGCTGCCACTGTATGAGAGCTATTTTCTTTGTAGACAAAGGAAAACCTAGGTATTTGAAGGGTGAGCCAATATATGTTCCTTCACATCTTGCTTCACCCCATCAAAATACACTGAACTTTTTCCCAGATTAGCCTGCAAACCTGATGCCTTAGAGAACTGAAAGAAGCATTTATATAGTATGGCGACTGAAGATAGATTACACTTAGCAAATAACAGAAGATCATCAGCAAAACTCATATGAGTTATGTCCAGCTTCCTACATCTGGGGTAATATTGGAAGGTAGGCTCCTTCTTAAGCTCATGTAGAGATCTACTCAAGTACTCCATCACTATTGCAAAAACGAAAGGAGAGATAGGATCTCCTTGTCGAAGACCCTTGGCAACATTGAAAGGTTCTGTGGTTTCTCCATTCACAAGGATAGTATAGTTGACTGTCTTGATGCATTCCATTATCCACCTGATAAACCTGTCAGGAAATCCAAGCTCCTCCATCACCTGTTGTAAGAAGATCCATTCTACTGAGTCATAAGCTTTTCGGAGATCAATCTTTATCATACATCTAGGAGATATCTAGGCTCTAATGTAAGATTTGACTAGCTCATGAGCTAGAATGACATTGTCAGCAATCTTTCTACCAGGAATGAAGACTGCTTGAGCTTCACAAATGATGTAAGGCATGAGTTTCTGCAATCTAGAAGCCAAGATCTTAGAGATCATCTTGTATAGGATTGAACAGCAGGCTATTGGTCTATACTCTTTGATTGTGGTAGGTTTAGTCACTTTAGGAACTAATGTAACAATGGTGCAGTTTATGGCCTTATAGATTTTTCCAGTTGAGAAGAACTCTTTTACAGCATCTGTGATCTGAGTGTTGATAATGTCCCATGCTTTTTTGAAGAAGACTGCATTAAAGCCATCAATACCTGGAGCTTTATCATCACCAATTGCTTTAAGGCTCTCAACAATCTCTTGATTAGTTACTTTTGCACAGAGATCAACTCTTTGTTGATGAGATAGTGTAGGACCATTCTTCATGTACATTCTGGTGATGGCAGGCAAAGAAGTGGCAGTTGATCCCATTAGGCTTCTATAGAAATCAACAATCTCTCTTTTGATAGCATCAGGGTCAGTCAACTTGTCTCCTAGTAAAGTTGTGATTTCTGTGATTTGCTTCTTTTGAGTTCTATCCTTCATTACTGCTGTGAAGTACTTAGAATTTGAATCTCCAAGTTGTATCCATCTTGCTCTAGCTTTCTGCTGCAGGACACTCTCTTCAATTAATGACCATTTCTCAAGGTTCAGTAGTGTTTTCTTCTCCATATCTAGTAGAGCATCAGTGTAATCCTGTGAGATTTTCTCCTGGATATCCCTGAGTTCTATTCTAGCCTTCTCAATTTTCTTAGTGATGCCCCTGAATTCCTTAGAGTTTAAAGCTTTCAAAGCAGGTTTCAGGTCTTTCAATCTTGTCCAAACTGATTTCAAAGTACCTTGTGTACTATGTGAATTCCACATGCTAGCAACTATTTGAGAAAAGTCTTCATGTGCTACCCATATGTTAAAAATCTGAAAGGCACTCTACATTTCCATGTGGAAGATGTCGGTGTTAATAGCATAAGAGCATGGTATGAAATTTGAGGCAATCCATAATTTGTTTCCACATGACCCCATGACATCATCCATTCATAATTACCAAAAACTCTGTCCAATCTACTGCTGACTCTATCTGCTCCAGGCTGCTTATTAAACCATGTGTAGTAGTCACCCTTCCAAGTTAGTTCTGTCAATGTAGTATGTTGAAGGCAGGCAGCAAAATCTTGTATTTCTGAGTAGCTTACTGGATTACAAGATAGTCTATCATTGGGGTATAGTATTGCGTTAAAGTCTCCGGCTATCATCCATGGTACTGCTATACTCGGTGGTAGTTGTTGTAAGTTATCCCAGAGGGCTCTTCTTTGTTCCAGTCCATTTTGGCCATACACTACTGTGAGTAAACAATCAATATCACCTCTTCTACTTTTTACCTGACAATGTATCATTTGAGCATCATCTTTAATACCATTGATAATCAAATTATTGGTATCCCATAGTATCCAGATCCTTCCATTCCTAGCATCCTTGTAGTTTGTCAGTATACTCCATCCGGGAGCAATAGCTTTTGCGATCCTTTGAGCATTCCTTTCCTTCACTTTAGTTTCTATAAATCCTACTAGCTTTATTTTATTTCCCCTAGTATATTCTCTAACCTCCTTTTGTTTATACCTAATATACTAGCTTGCTGATTTTTCATGTATTGCTTAGCTATATGTTATGTAGTTTGATCTAAAAATTTTAGTACACCATTCATTGACGAAAGAAATTATTTACTTGTTTAAGTTTAAACCTAAGTTGCGCGGACTCTTCGATTTTGGTTCCGTCCCCGTCCCGATACAATACGGGGACGAGGATGGGATACGTTCCGGATTCGGTCAACTAACTTCGGACACTTTGACCAGAGTCCATTGACAAATTTGGGAGAAAAATTGAGATTTTGATTTCTCAAAATCAAAAATAAAATAGATTTAGGACAATGAAAGAATAATGTCTATCTTGGAGAATGAAAGATTGAATTCTACAATATTCATGTAAGTTTTTCACAGAATATCTCTCAAAATTTACAATATATTTATAGCTCTATTTTTATCAGCCGAATCCCCGCACCCGTATCCATATCCGGATCCGCACCCCCGAATCTTAAAATTTAGATTTTGCCGAATCCGATACTCGGATCCGTCCCCGCATCGGATACCCGCACCCGAGTCCTAGCAACTTAGGTTTGAACACCCTTGACAGAATTTCTGGCTACGCCACTGCCATGCGGTCCTACATAGGGCCTTATGCATACAATAATGGGCCAGAACATGATTACGATCTAAATCTCAAGGATAACTGCACATTCAAAACAAGGCATCAGAGAATGCACATAAGAGCCACCTATATGTGCAGTTCTACTAAAAGTAGCGCATGATCCCTTTTTTAGGCCAAGGCTTTTTTGGGGCCAAAAGTGCTTTTTTTGGCCAAAATCACTTTTGGCAAAAAATTGAGGTGTTTGGCCAAGTTTTTGGAAGGAAAAAAAGTGTTTTTGAGGAGAAGCAGAAGCAGTTTCGGAGAAGTAGAAAAAAATAGTTTCTTTCCAAAAGCACTTTTCTGAGAAGCACTTTTGAGAAAAATACACTTAGAAGCAGTTTTCAATAGCTTGGCCAAACACTAATTACTGCTCAAAAGTACTTTTCAAATTAATTAGACAAACACAAACTGCTTCTCACCACAAGCACTTTTTTAAAAAGTAATTTTGAGAAGAGCACATTAATTTTAGAAGCTTGGCCAAACGGGCTATTAGACACAGTTAAATTGGATACAACAACAAGAACTATGCCTCAATCCAAACTACTTGGGGTTGTCCATATGAATCCTCAATATCCATTCGCACCTCGTCAATTTTTTACATCTTTTCACATAGGCAGAGGTGAGCAAAGATTATGAATCTAACAGGCTAGCATAACCTACTAAAATGAAAAATTCTCAAAACGAAAAAGTGCAGTACCTTAAGGCTCTCAACGACACCAGGAACAACCTCATGCTCAAGGCCAGCATACTCTCCCTCGGTATTCTCCCTAATTACAACAATATCCACATCCTCATGCCGCGTAGGCAACCCTGGGAAAGTGAAACAATGCACAATAGAAGCGTACAGATCAAGCTCTTTCCTCATTTGCACATTCAGCGAACTAACACCACCGCCGACCGGTGTTTTTAACCCTCCTTTTAAACAAACCTTATTCTTCCTAATCGAATCAATTACTTCCTCCGGAATACATTTCATATCACCGCGTACTTCGTACCTCTCAAAGTAAACGGGTGCCTTCATTGCCTGCATCACTTGTTCCACTGAATCGGTTACCAGTGGACCAACGCCATCGCCTGGGATCAGCGTGACGGCTCGTGGCGAGGCGTTAGTGGTGAAACAGCGATAGGTGGATTGTTGGATCAGTTTTTTTAGGATTGGGAAGGATTTTCGAGCCATGGTTTGATTTTGATTTGTGTTGAAATTTTTCAGTACGATGCATTTTGGTCAGCGATAAAAGCCATTAAATACGAGAGTCCTAATAGGCAAGGAAAAAGAAAAAAATTGGAATATTGAGAAGAAAGAAAGAAAGCGGAGATGCGCGCCACATTTTGCGTGAACCGCTGAAGAATAGCCGGTTTCGAGAATCGTCAGTATACGTGGTTTGGTTTGGATCAAATTTTTCCTAAAAAGCAACCAAATCAAGTAAGTCGATTTTTCAAATATTAGAACCAAACCAAACCAATTAAGTCAGTTTTATCGATTCGGTTTTTCGGTTTTTGGTTATTTGTCTGTTTTTTCTTAAATATAAGACATACACTACCAAACACATATTCCGGCGACCATATTTTCAATGTAACACTATCAAATCAATTGGCCTTTGAGAAATCTATTATTTACCAAGATATATTGATGATAATTGAATCAAATAGCGGTGAATAGTTTGAGGACTCAATTAAAAATATGTTATTTTTAACACGAAATGGATTCTTACACTAAACAAAAGAAAACTACCAATCAAACTAGAATGTCAAGGTAAAGAACTATATTAAAAGTGCAAACTATTAACATTTACCATAAACTTTTTGAAACTTTGTATAACAATATACATATTTATAGGTGTAATAATAAATTTGAAATAGTTACTCCAATAGTCGGTTTGGTTCGGTTTTTTCTTATTAAAATCAAAACCAAACCAAATTTGATCGGTTTTTAAAATTCAAAACCAAAACCAAACCAAACCAAAAAGTATCGGTTTTTTGGTCGGTTTGGTTTGGTTTTCGGTTGATTCGGTTTTTCGGGTTTTTATGAACACCCCTACAAATGACCAAACAGCATCTCATTCCATAACACTCTTCCTCAAACTAATATTTCTCCAGAACTATAATATTTTCTCAATTTCATTTTACTTTGGCACTATTAATCCTTTGCAAAAGGAATATTTCATCTTTTATTTTTAAATTTAATTTAATGTTTTAACCAAAAATTATATTTTTAATTTGTTCATTTACTCCTAATTAAATGATTTTTAGTCACATAAATCTTATAGTAACATGTTTAAAACCAACTACGGCACATATATTAAAATAAAAAAAGTAATTGCTTATTATTTTTTTGTAAATAAATATCTAGAGAAAAAAATAATTAAAAGTTTATAAGCAAATCTAACATATCATCCCAATTTAATTAATGAGAAGGTCAAAATTTATCCTGTTATCATTGACGTCAACAAATCACCTTGTACTTGCCTTTACGGATAAAATATGTTCATATTAAATGATAGCATAAGAAAGCGATACGTGAGTCGAAGACAAAAGACAGTTGGATCCGAAGGCAACTATCTCATTTGTTATTAGAGAGAACGATATTCATAAAGGTGAAATAAATATGTGCCACCCGGTAGTATTTAATGAAGAATATTTTATAGCATTAAGTGCACGATCCATTACAGAGAATATGACATTCATTGCCTATCGTTACACATTCTTCAAAGGCCCTCATAATTATCATTTAAGAGGGGCTTGATCCTAGAACCTTGTTCCCTGGATGGAGCTTAAGGGTGGCAACGGGCGGGGCGGGGCGGATATGAGCGGGTCGAAAACGGATAATTCAAAAACAAATAAATTATCCGACCGACCCATACTTGATATAAGCACGTAATTTTTTACCCGCATAATTTTTTGAGTTAGTTTTAGTATTTTAAATATTTACTTGAGTTATTATAGATTTTTTATCCATTTTTATTACCACTTTATTAGTTTACTTTTATTGTTGTATGTATTTAAAAATTAAAGGAAAATACAAAATAGTTTCATTTTAATATGAGTTTTGTTGTAGTTAAAGTTCAATTGTATTTTATTAGTGTTTTGTTATTTATTTTATTTTTTATTTTAGTTTTTGAAAGAGACTGAAATTTGAGGCTAGTTTTTGTTTTGTCTTAATTCAAGAAGTCCAAAGAGATGGCCCAATTCGGATCTAAGCCCAATCCCATTTGACCCATCAGATCCTTCATTTAATCCTAGCCACCCATCCCATCTAATCCAACGGATACCATTAATTTCCCCACTCCAAATAAAATCTAACCCATTCTCCAAACCCTAGGTCTAACTTTTGAACACACACTTGAGAAAGACAGTCGCAGAGCTCCAAAAGCTAAAGAGAAAGAGCAGCGGCAACACTCCACAAAATCTTCAAGCCTCTGTCGCCAGTCTACTCCCATCTTCCTTTCTTGGAGCCTGAATATTCTTTGCAGAAAAACCACTCTTATCAGTTTGAGAAGGTAAAAAATAAATATTGGGTAGAATTTTTCGTTAAATCGGCAGAATTTGATAAGAATTATCCTCTTGATAGTGCTGCTCCAGAGAAAGTTGAAGACCATGTTATTAAAAATTACAAAAATAGGCTAGAACGTTACTGTGATATAGAAGTCCATAGGCGACAATGAAACAGGAACTACCCAACACCTCACTGTGACAAGTTTCAAATTTTTGAGTAGGTTGAGAGTCGAGGTTTTCGGTCAAGAGGTCTGTTGTCGTGGTCATGTTGGTTTCGCCTTTAAGGCCTGTAAAAATCGAGTATTGAGGTTCGTTTCTTACTTTTAATCTCAAAATTTTGTTGGTTCCTATAATAAATAAATTTTTGGCATTTAGCCTCTATCGTGTTTTCTTGGATGAATTGTGAATATCATCGTGTTTCATTTTAGTAATTTGATTGCATCTTTGTGCTCCAAAACTGCAACAACTATAGGGCTATCAAGTTGTTAAGCCATACGATGAAAGTGTGGGAGAGGTTGATTAAAGGGAGATTGAGGAGGTGTGTGTCCATTCCCGAGAAGCTGTTTTGTTTCATGCCGGGATGGTCGACTACTGAGGCCATTCACATTGTGAGGAGATTGGTAGAGCGGTATAAGGCGGTGAAGAAGAATTTGCATATGGTGTTCATTGACCTTGAGAAAGCCTATGACAAAGTGCCGAGAGAGGTTCTATGGAGATGTTTGGAGGCGGGAGGTGTGCCTGTAACATATATTAGAGTGATTCAGGACATGTATGATGGGGCTAAGACACGGGTGAGGACAACAGGATGAGACTCTAACTACTTTTCGGTTGAGATGGGGTTGCATTAGGGATCAACACTCAGCCCGTCTTTGTTTTCCCTGGCGATGGATTCTTTGACGCGCCACATTCAAGGGGAGGTGCCTTGGTGCTTGTTATTTGCGAATGACATAGTCCTGATTGATGAGACGCGAGGTGGCGTTAACGAAAGGCTGGAGGTCTGGAGACATACTCTAAAGTCTAAGGGTTCCAAGTTGAGCAGGACCAAGACAGAATACTTGGAGTGCAAGTTCAGTGGTGTTACCTAGGAGGCAGATGGGGATGTGAGACTCGATACGCAAGTCATTCCCAAGAGAGAGAGTTTCACATATCTGGGATCTATAATTCAGATGAATGGGGAGATAGATGAGGATGTTACTTACCGTATTGGAGCAGGATGGACGAAGTGGAGGCTCGCTTCCGGTATCTTGTATGATAAGAATGTGCCATTGAAACTTAAGGGTAAGTTCTACAAGGTAGTGGTCAGACCGACTATGTTGTATGGGGCAGAGTGTTGGCTAGTCAAAAAGTCACATGTCCAGCATGTGAAAGTAGCGGAAATGAGGATGTTGAGATGGATATGTGGGCATTCTAGATTGGATAGAATTAGGAATGAAGTTATTCGGGACAAGGTGGGAGTGGCCCCTGTGGAGGCAAAGATGCGTGAGGCAAGGTTGAAATGGTTTGGGCATGTTAAGAGGAGAAGCACAGATGCCCCAGTCAGGAGATGTGAGAGGTTGGCCTTGGGATGTGAGAGGAGGGGTAGAGGTAGACCTAAGAAATCTTGGGGTGAAGTGATCAGGCGGGACATGGCGCAGCTTGAGCTGACCGAGGACATGACCCTAGATAGAAGGGTGGAGGTGGAAGATTAGGGTGGAAGGTTAGTAGGTAGTCGTGCATTTCCCTTTGTCTTCCCTAGTTCGATAGTATTAGTGCTAGTATGGTACATTTTCCTTAGTTTGCTATAGCCGCGTGTCTTGTTCTGTTACGACTTACCTTCGATAATTCCGTAGTTTGCTAGCAAGACTTCGTCATATTCTCGTGTGCTGCCATGGACTTATTTGTCTAAATATACTATCTTGCTATTACTTGTTATCGGTACTCCTTCCATATTCTTTGTTGTTTTCTCCGATTTAGTGTTCTTATTATTTGTCTTGCAATCAGGGCCCCCTTCACCTTCTTTAGCCGAGGGTCATTCGGAAACAGTCTCTCTATCCTTCCAAGGTAGAGGTAAGACTGCGTACATCCTACCTTCCCCATACCCCATTTGGTGGGATTATACAAGGTAGTTGTTGTTGTTGTGGATTCCATATTTGTGCTAAGTAATTCAGTGATAAGATTGGTTTTAAGTTTGAGAATTGATCTGTTACTTGGATATGTTTAATTGCTATAGTAAATCCTTCTTCGCTAGTTTATTCACTAGAATAAGTGTCTGGATTTAAAATAATGGCAATATTTTAATACTAAGAGGGTTTAGGCTAAATTCATAAGTATTAGTAGACCATTACTCATTAACTTATTTGGTTGGGATTTAGAAATTAGCGCTGTCACGTCATTTTGTTACTGACAGTGAATTAGAAAGGTTTATTTTTGTTTATGAATAATTGCAATACTTCAAAATCAAGTGACGTTTAGTAATAATTACACTTCTTTCACAAATTCTATATCCATAAATCATGGCCTTCACAATAATTTCAAAATTAGGTTAAGAAAATAATTCTTAAAAATCGCTAGTGCGCTTTAGGCGCGTATTAATAAATAAATTATCATAGTTATGTATACGTTCGCGCGACATAATTGTAATTCCCAAAATAATTCAAGGTACGCGTTCGCCCGGTTTTGGCAAATAATCTTGATAATTAATAAAGCGTGTTTAATTGTGTACACGTACGCGTGACATTATTCTTGACGTGCCGAACGAAATGAGTACACGCACGCTTGACTTGTTTTAAGATAATTCCCTAATTATTAATAATCAAGCAATTTAAAAACGGTAAGAGGTAAAATGTACGTAGGTTCTAAAAATACGTAATTAAACAACTTATTAAACCAGGTTTGATTAAAAGATACCGTGCTAAAACCACAGAACATGAAAATGCTTAACACCTTCTCCCGGGTTAACAGAATTCCTTACTCGGTCTTCTGGTTTCGTAGACTTTAAAATAGAGTTAAATTCCCTCGATTTGGAATTTAAAATAAACTGGTGACTTGGGACACCATAAAGTATTCCAAGTGGTGACTCTGAATCTCATTTTGATTAATGTTACTTTAATTAGAAAAACTCCCCATTTCTTCGGAAAAAGGAGCTGTGACAGCTCTGGCGACTCTACTAGGGATAAGAACCCAGAACTTCTAGTTCAGGATTAAGAATTAGAGCTTGTTAATGTGATCTATACTTGGCTTTCTTGAATATTGATATGACTGTGTTTGTGTGCCTAATGTGCTAATTGCCGCTCATTTACCACTTTAATATTATTTGAACTGTATTTAAATATCTTCTTACGCCTCCCTTCTGAGTCTTGTAAAAATATGGTGCATACGTACGCGTAGCCCACTTTTCTGTTAAAGGTCGTACCAAATAGAACGAGGCTGGATCAACAACTAGGCCGGGTAGACTTTCGTGCTCCCGGCACATTGCCCCCACCTCGGCTCGAGCTGTCTGCTTAGGAAAGCCAGGTCTAAAACACTCCCCACATGATTTAAACCTAGAATAACATAGCTCCATGCCGATCCCTAGTAGGTATGATTTGTTTTCATCACGTGCATTTGACTTAGGGGGCTCAACATAGGGGTTGAGTCCGTCTAGGACAGGTGTACCCGAAACTTAAAAAAAAGACCATTCTGAAGCAACTTACGTGCTACTTGTACATTTGTTTGATCTGTTTGTATGTTGACTACTTTTAGAATATGAAAAGAAAATTAAAAAAAGACAAGAGAAAGAAAATAAGAGAGTGAAATTCGATATATATATATATATATTCTTTCTTCTTTAGAAGTCTTTCTTTTCAAAAATTCTTTTAAAAAAACAAACAAATAGATCGAAATCCAAAAAATATCTTTCTTTTTATAAGTCTTTCTTTCGGAAATTAAAATAAAAAATTCAAAATCCAAAAAAAGAGTTAGTTTATTTACTTTATTCCTGATCTTCTCGAACTACGCAAGACCTGATTCATGTTCTCACATGATACGTAGGCAACCCACATCAGGTTGGATCAACCATTATAAAAAAAATGATGATGATAATAATAATAAGGACCCACTGAGTGCATTCTAACATGTCTTTTGTTTTGAATTGTGAAGAAAGTTTGAGGTGGTCGGTTTGTAGTTGTCACACCTCCTTTTTTACACACCTACCCCGAAGGATAAATGTATAAGGGAGTTTTTCCATTTAAAGTGACATTATTCGAATGGGATCATTTATTTATTTTTAGAGTCGCCACTTGGGATAGGATTGGCTTTTGGTGTCCCAAGTCACCGATTTAATTTAAATCCCAAATCGAGGAAAATTTCGACTTCCCAATTGGAGTCTGCGAACCAGAAATTCTGTGTAAGGAATTCTGTTGACCCGAGGGAAGGTGTTAGGCACCCCCGGATCCCGTGGTTCTAGCACGGTCGCTTAAATTATCATAAATGGCTAAAATCTGATTTTATACATGTTCAAACCTATAGTGCAATTTTTAGGATTATTTACCGCTTTTAGTTATTTTTACGAAAAGCAAACGCCGTTTAAGAGCGCGTTTTTGGATCACGTCACATGAAATGCACTCGGGTCCTCAACACCTCTTATTCAACGTTTTGGGATTTGGATTTGGGTTGCATGAAATGCGCACCCGAGTTTAGGAAAGTAAAATTCATTAAAAGCGCGCCTAGAATGGCTAACGTCTTATTAACTTGGCGGGAAGCCATGAAAATTTGCTAAATGGCATGTCCCGAACTTCTAAAATATTTTTGATAAAGCATTTAATGAGGGCACCGCAATTTATGTATTTTTTATTCGGCGAGGCTCGTCCCACTTTTATTTAAAGGCTAATCCTACAGTAAACTAAGATTTCCTGTTTATTTTTGTCTCACAAAAGGGCATAATTAATTTACAATTATAAATCCGGGCCTCGAATTCAAGTCCGAATTCAAACAAAAGGGAGAACCCTCTTAATTTGAGTCCGCCACTTAACGCGAGAACCTAAATCTACATTTGCAAATTGATTCCCATGTTCCTAATGTAATTTTAATGGATTTTAGCTTCCAGCGATTTTGGGCCTGAACGATTGGCCCCAAAAATACAGTTCATATTGAAGCTTGCCCAGTTTTGGACTTAAAATTGAGTCCAACTTCAGCGGCTTAAACAGGGGACTCAGTATTGAATTTCTGTGGGCTAACACAAGTCTCCATAATATTTGGGCTTGCTTGTTATGCAGCTGGGTCAACGTTGGACCCAGTCTTTAGCACTTTGGGCCCAAGGATGAGCCCAATTTGAAGTAAAATTGAAGCTGGGACTCAAGATCAAGTCCCTTCAGGCCCAAAACTTAACAAAATAAGGCTAGCTCTTTTCGCTTTGCTGTTAAATTGTAAATAAATAGACAAACTATATTAACAGGTTAAACACTAAAGAACGATTGGATATTTTTTTTTCATTTGTTGCATATTCAAAGCTCTAGTCCAATGCCCTCAAAACTAAGACTATGGGAGTCAAACACTGAAATACTGAACTGTTTCAAACATCTATTAGGTGTATAATTAACACCGGTATCAGCACACACACATTGGTCCTAAAATCATTTTCCGACTTATACAATATTTCAAATCTAACACTATACTGAAATTAAACTATACTAAAGCTACCACTACCAAATAGAATATATATGAGTCCAACAGTCCATGTACACAATTTCTCGAGCATTCTACCAAACTAACGAGCTACGAGTCTTCAATGGAATGAAAAGCAACATGAATTTCAGTAACATCACTACTATGAATGAACTAGATTGCATGCCATCACACTACACTACTAACTTCAGGAATTTTTAAAGCAGATGATTGATAGAACAACCATTCATTCATGTATTCTTCAAACAATTACAGCTTTCCTATTTTTCATCTCAACCCTTAGAGAATCAAGGAATACCTGGAAATTGGACAAAGAAAATGAGCAGAAGTGAGACAACAAGCAAAAGCCAGCAGTAGTCAACAGCAGGAAATACCCCAGCAAACCAGTCTTAAAACCAAAACAGTGTTCAAACAGCCTACCCCAAAACGATTTCACTTAAGTGCAAACCCAAAACTTCAACATCAGACCTTGAAACCAAATTCAATCTATTTTTCTAAACCCTAAATGAACCAAAAATGCTCCAGAATTAGAGGAGCTTCAAAAATCAGAGCATCAGCAATGGAACAGTCTTTTTTAGCAATTTTGGCCGCCTAGAACTTTTAGGGATTTTTAGCCCTTTTTTAAAATCTTCCTTGAGCCTCAAGTAACAATGCCTTTATAGGCAAGTTACTAGGGCAGCCTTAGGGGTTCAGTTATTTCATTTTAGTCCCTCTCCAATTTTCCTTTTTGCTACTTAATCCCTCATTTTCTGACTTACTAGCCAAGCTAACCTACCAAAAGTCTTAAATTTAATTAAAAACCCCTACCCAAACTTCCTAGAAACTTCCTATTTTTGTTACATCAAAGATTCCCTAACTACAATCCCCAAATTACCCTTTAAGGTCCTGTTAATTACCCTAACAACCCTGAGTTGATTGGCCAAGCTAATTGGGTCATAGACCCCAAATTGCATCTCGATTGGGCCTGTTGCCATCGATTACAAAATTTGCGGACCCAGATTGAAGCTAAAACAAAGCTTCCCAAGCAAAGAAGCCCGAAACACATTTCTAGCGGAGGCGAAAGGTAAAACTGAAGACCTAACCGTAAATGACAACAAATTAATTATGGACCTAACTTTATTTATCTAAGCAATTAACTGATAATGAAACGCTTAAGCTCATTAATCAACAAAAACAGGCGGATCAAGGAACTCATGTAGCTCAACTAACAGGGAAAAGAAGGAAAACAAAAAGGGCCTAGAACAAACTAAGCAAAACCATGGGTTGGACTTACCAGTTGGACTTGAAAAACACGGGTAACTCTGATTTGGTCTCGACATGGTATAGATCGTCTGTTCTTTGTCAAGAACAGACGAAGAACATCACTTCGAGATGAACCAGGCTGGGAACGAGCGGGTAATTTGGAGGGATGACCTTGCATGGAGTATTCTGACTTTGACCCTCCTTCGAACCTTGGATTTAGGACTCGACAAATTCCGGCCTTATTCGAAGGGAGTTGGCCTAGGATTTGAAAAGGGGAGAGTGTGATGGTTATTTGGTGTTGATTTGGGTGAGGTTGAGCGTTGTTTAAGGTCACGCCGCCGGGCTTGGGGCGGGGAAATGGTGGCGGCTGTTATGGCTCCTAGGGTTCTTGAAGAGAGATGAGAGAAGAAGATGATGAGGGATATGTTTGGACTAGGTTTGAGTTAATTGTTCGGACATATTAATTGAGAATGGGATGGGCAATCTGAGCCGTCAGATCTATTGAACGAAAGGCTGAGATCGGATTGAGTTTAAGAAACTCGGAACGACGTCGTTCGGACATCAAGAGGGACTGGCTGGGTTGGGCTCGGGTTTTGGGCGGGTATGTAACGAATGACTAGGCTGGGGTAAACTCATTAAATTTCGGCCCAAAATGCTTTGTTCTCTTCTTTATCTTCTAACTCCCTTTTATTTTATTTTATTTTATATTTAACTTCAAAATTAAACCTTTTTCTTTCCTCCTTTTTTTTTCTTTCTTTTTTTTTTCTGAAAATTAAAACCAAAAATACTAAATTAAATTAAAAACCAAACTAACTCATAAAAAATACTAACTAATCCTAAATAATTAACACCGTTAATAAATTAAGGAAAACTACTCGAAAATCAAAAATTAAAATTAAAGGGAGCAAAATGACTATTTTTGTGATTTTCCTTTTATTAAAACAACTTAA